ACTAGCGGAACACATCGCACAGACTGGACACGAGATCAATTGGAAAGCAACAGAAAGGAAAGCTCCATATGGTAACAACACAAGATAGTGGATGATTAGGGAGGCCATTGACATCTAATGAACAGGAGATTAGAGGAAGGTAGAGTTAGCGATAACTTTGCCTACTGCCTAAGCAAAATCGGAGAAAATAATAGAGCAAGACCAGCAAAAAGGATTCGCCTGGAGCACGGATCTGCCGCTAACCGGATAAAAAGGGATTGTGTTGCCGAAAGGGGGGGCAGGGGTATTCTGCAATTAAGCGAAGACGTTATCAGTTAGTGAAGGCCATTAGAATAAACCAGTACAAATTTGCGGGCCTGGCAATTAGGGAGCAGGGCAGACGAATAAGCACACCGTCATAGAAATTGGGGTTTTGGAGAAAATACACTAGAAATCCACTTTATATGCCGCATGCGACCAGAGATAGGCGTCCACATTTTGATGAGATAGCAGTTGTTTAAGTAAGGAGACGACCAGTGTAAGAAAGGTCTGATATCTTCAAGCATTGGATTCAGAGCTTAAGCGCTCCGCTCAGTAAAGCGGCAGTGTATGTGCTTCTAGGGCTTTGAGAAATAGCGCCAAGATTGAAATACACACAGGGAATAAACCCGAGTGAAATCGGTCAACCATAAAGAAAAGGAATGGATCTACGAGACAATGAAAGGATCCGGATTGGAGGCCCGAGTGGGATAAGCCCATCGAAAGCGAGGGGTCGGGGTAAATAGCAAGTAAGATGAGGCCATGCCCGGTTTGCCACATAAGGACACACGTTTTGATGATTGGAATGTAAACAAGTGAGAAATTGTGATAGGGCGGCAGTGGGTAAGAGGGTAAAGGGTAAATAGATAGGCCAGGACAGAAGGAGGAGTGATAATGTAACCGTTTCCAGCAGAACGGTTGTAGAGGGATTGACTTTACTTGTCTCTTTGACGAGTTCGTATCTTTGTGCGGAGAATGGCAAGGCTTACTGATTATGCCGACTACGATGCCGGCAAAACGTTTGAGAATGTATCAAGTCCACTGTCAGATGCTGGGAAACAAGACAACTACTATGACAGACGACTTCGGACTAGGTGCCTTCTACATAGTCTTTCTGAACACAAGAACAAGTTTCGACAATGAGGTCAACTTACCTCTTAGATCAGCTTTATGCGGTCCATTTGCCAC